GACTGCGCCTACCTGATGAGCCCCAAGAAGGGCGAAACCGGTCGCGGGCTGTCGGAGAGTTTTCTGCAACCTTGTGAGTAGTATCCTTTATGAAAACATACTGCGATATCTCGAATATCGTGCCAACTGAAATATGAGGCGGCCTGTATGCAGCACACTCAGTTGTAGAATATCATAAACGGGAGATTCAGTTGAGTCTCTGGTGAAAACCAAATTGGTTTGCAAGTGAGTGTATTTCTTGGAGGCACTTTCCTTCTGATGGTAGTCGCGCGCTGTTTGTACCTATCCGCTGAGCTTAAAGAACTCAATACATGTGATCCGTTTCAGTTTAGAGGACACGAGCTTTTGGGGCTTTATCACCAAGACGTTACAGAAGTGTTCGATTTTTTGACAAGAAGTTCCACAGTACGATCTCAACTGGATGTAGAAAATATCTCGGCAAACCAAGGTGCTGTGTTGTGCAGCATGCGGAACAATGCTGAGGAGGCACGGATTTGATCATTGAGGTAGTAAAGATGAAGAAACTGATTATCGACATGGAATATCGTGAGACGTTGTGCGCACGGATCGTGAAACTGCTGTCTATTGACGAGTCGAAACGAACACGAAGCCTGTATCTGGCGTCGCATACTGAAGAAACTGAGTATCGACATGGAATATCATGAGACGCTGTGCGCACGGATCGTGAAACTGCTGTTTATTGACGAGCCGAAACGAACACCAAGCCTGTATCTGGAAACAGTCGCATACTAAAGCGGTCAACACGTGCAAGAGGCCTCACAGTTCGAGATTGATGATACGCGGAGGAATATTGGGTCAAGTTAATTGGCCCGTATTTTCCCTATGGAAATGCAACCAGTGACAGGCGTATCCTACCATAAATTTCTACGAGGATGGATGTGGCGCGGAAAAAGGCTATCATCTCATTCAGGTTGTTTCTCCCAAAAAGCTGTCAGCCTGTTCGCCAATCTTGACAAACAGATCAAAAGCCACTTGACTCATCCAACCCACCAACAGTTGGACATACTACGTGTATGAGACCAGGCCAATAAAGCTGGAACATATGAAAGGGTTGAATAAGGTCCTACCCAGAATCTCACAAGAAGTTAGGAATGTTTTCGTAGAGGAAACTACTCACAAGGTTGCTGAAAACTCTTCGACAGCCCACGACTGGCTTCGCCCTTCTTGGGGCTCATCAGGTAGACGCAGTCCCCGAGTTTCCGTCAACCTTATCTAGTGTAAATAGACGAACGGGAGACACGGTGAGTGAAACACAAAGTATAATACTTGGGTACTGGGAGTCGTCAGCATTGAGGTATCGGAGTTATTCTTCTCTTTGTCGATATGAAACGCACACGGAAGCCGCCACCGTGATAACATTCTACTATTCCTGTAAAGACAATTTTGAGGTGGTAAATCTGTCTACAGCCAATAGAAAACTAGCACGCAAGACAGTTTTCCAGCACCAGCTTTACGGATCAAGCTAACAAAGGGGCGACATACCGCTCTATAGGGTCAACAGTACGACATTGGTCCGTGGGCGAAGGCTACGTTCTACACGTCCACTGGGCACCGCCATTTAATCAATTTATATGCAGGAAAAGGGGTTATGCTATAGTACTACTTGTGAGCAACTGGGCGTCATGCAGCGCATCGTCTGATGTGATCCCTAGCTGATCTAGAAAATCGACTTGAAGCACATGTTAGGTTCTTCTACCTAAATTCGCACGGTGATCAGGATAGTGCCATGAACGAAACAACCGATAAGTACAGTAACGCCTCGTGCTAAGCTGCGACAGCATGGTTCGCGTATCATCAATACGTCGTGGTCCACGGCACCCTACAGCCGAAAAGTTGTATACAAAGCAGTCGTCTGACAAGTTAACTGGATTTGGTCGACTGCGTGGCAGTAAAACATGCTAAGACCAACATTCACGGTCGTACCGTGTTGGAACGATGTGGATTTTCCGCCCATGTCACTAAGCCTACGGGAGCCGGTCATATTGTAGTCTCCTATCACTAAAGGTGAAGTATGAGGCGACCCTTGTGCAGCACCTTCGGCTGTGGAATAGCATAAACAAGAAATTGAATTCAGATTCAGCTGAGCATGTATTAACACGAGATGGCTTAAGATAGCTGTGGCTAAGGCGTGGAGTTACTGACAGGACTGTCCGTGGTTCGGACCCAACCTCTGCATCTCGACTGTTCCTGCCTGGCAGCTCTCGTGCTTCCTTCCGGTGTCATGGCAGCTAGGCACCGGGTGTTACAGCTGAAAATAAGTGTTGACCTGAAAGATGCTAGTTTTTTGGGCACCGAGATTTACCGTTTGTCTTCCATATATCAAGCTAACGTTTGCTACAGTTT